TTAGGAGAAGTCATGACACCAGGGACATCACTGCTGATGTCAGATGAATCCTGACTGAAAGCAGAGAATAGAAGGAAAATGTTATATATGTGCCTTATTGACTATGCAAAGACATGATACTATGTGGATCATAACAAATTATGACTAACATTGAGAATAATAGGAATCCCAGAACATTTGATTGTGCTCATACAAAACCTAGACCTAGACCAAGAAGCTGTTGTCTCAACAAAGAAAGGGAACATTGCATTATTTAAAATAAAGAAAGGTGTGCATCGGTGTTGTATCCTTTCTCCTCACCTAGTCAATCTATAGGCTGATCAAATCACTTGAAAAGCTGGACTCTATGAAGAAGACTATGGTATCAAAATTGGAAGAAGACTCATTAAAACAACCTGTGTTATGCAGATTCATCAGCAACTTGCGTTACTTATTGAAAATGTAGAGGATTTGAAATGCTAGTTGCAGAAGATCAAAGACTACAAAATACAATATAGGTCATACATTAAAATCAAGTTTACAAAATTCCTCACCAATGGATAAGTAATATATGGTGACTGATAAGTTATAATATGACAAATACAAAAAAGATTAGAAGTGGATACCAACTGATTGAATTTGAATTAATTGAAACTGGATACCACTGCCTAAATGATATCCATTGGTAACTGATAAGTATTATCATGACAGATACAAAAAAGATAGAAATTGTCAACAATTTCATTTTACTTGGGGCCACAATCAACATCCTTGGTACCAGTAGTCAGGAGGAATATTGAATTGGGAAAGTCTGCTGTCAGACCTCTCCAAGGTAGTGAGGAGAAATGATGTCAATTTGAAGACTAAGGTGAGCCTGATTGAGGCTATAGTTTTTTCAATCACTTGTTATGCATCTGAGAGCTGGACCACGAGTAAGGATGACAGAAAAATTGATGCCTCTGAGCTCTGGTATTGGAGAATAGTTCTGAGTAACCCATAGACTGCCAAAAGAACAAACAGATATGTCTTGGGGGAAAAGTGCTGCCAGAATGATCTTTGTATGACAAAGCTTTATTTCACCTACTTTAGATATATTGTTAGGAAAGATTATTTCTTGGAAAGGGACCACATGCTTGGAAAAATGAAAGTCAGCAAAGACATAAAAACCTCAACAAAACGGACTGACACAGTGACTGCATAAATGGACTCAAGTGTGTCAGAAAGGATGAGGATGGCAGAGGATAGGACAGGGTTCAGATCTATTGTACTTGACTCAACAGGACCTAACAACAATAACAATGCATTATTATCTATAAAGGGCTTACAGCAATAAATTACTTTTTCTGAACCTACTCTCAGGGTTTCTAATTTGGTAAGTCTGGAATGGGATTAGAAATCTGTATTTTATAAGACTGCCATGCAGTGCTCATTTCAGCAGCACATATACTAAAACTGGAACCATACAGAGAAGATTAGCATGGCCCCTGCTCAAGGATGACACACAAATTCATGAGGCGTTTTATATTTTTTTTGGGGGGGAAGACTGCCATGCAGATTATATCTAAAAAACCACTATTCTTTATAAATCAGTCAATCAATCAATCAATCTAAGGAGAGCGGAGCTCACAAGTAGAGCACAAAGGACAGATGGAATTTGAGTGAGAAATATTATTAAAATAATTAGTTTGGG